GTTCCCCCTAACCCATCAGGGTCTTTTGAGCTGAGCCTAGGAGGAAGAGTGCAGGGCAGCAGACTTCTGCCTTAGGCAACAGGCAGAAGAGAGGGCAGATGGGATGACCTCTCCCAGATCCCCATCACTCCTAGCCAATGGCCTCACCCCCTTCCTCTGAGAAGCCCACCCCCAGCTCCAGGCCTGCAGAAAAACAGGGCCCTCTCCCCTCTCCCCCTCCTCTGCCTGTTGTAGTCTGGCTCTGCCTTCACCACTCTACCAAAATCCCTCTCACCAAGGTCAACAGTGACTGTCTTCTGGCTAAATCCAAGGGGCCTTTCTCAAGCTTGTCCTCTGTTGGTCCTTTCCTGCTTCTTTGGCTCCCAAGACATAGTCTCCCTTCAATTGCCTCCTACCTCTCTGGATGCTCCTTCTCCACCTCCTTTCAGAATCCTTTGTATCTGCTCCACCCTCAGGCGTCAGTGTTCTCCAAAGCCCCCACTGTCCCTGACCATCCTCTTTCCGTACTCTCTACGCTCTCCCTGGACCATGTCATGCACCCTCCCAAGTCAGCTATCATCTCTACACTGAAGACTCAAATCCCTGCCTCTCACTCCTACCCTGAGATCCAGACCCATCTATCCAGCTGCCTCCCTATATCTTCCCCAACAGTCTAAAGATGGCTGTCCTGGCTCCCTCGCCAACCTGCCCCTTCCTGTAGGCCCGAGTGAGGTAGTCAGCATGGTTACTCTGGCATTAGTGGAAGGTAGACTGGTAGAGGCCAGGAGGCCCTGACTCCCAGCCTGTTCCCCCATTATCACAGCCCTGAGGTGAACTGTAACCAGCCCTGGAAGTGGCAAGCCCAAGACTCAGGATCCTTGAAAACCCATGCCAGTGGGAAGGCTTTGGCAAGAAGGCCCAAACTTGGAAGGAAGAGAGCTCTGAATTACAGATGCCAGCCTGGGATTGGGGATCAGATATGGTGGGCCAGGCTCAATGCTCCTGCTCCTAGTAGCCCCAGGAGCATCTCTGGCCAAAGCCACAGGACTTCCCAATGTTCCAGCCAAGATGGTTCACATGGGACATAACCACCAAGAGAGATGACAGCCAAGGTTCACAGAGAACCGGTGATTACATGTCCCATCACACCCGCCCTCTTCCGCCATCCCAGAAAAAGAAGAATTCATAAACATCTGCAGGAAAGGAGATTCCACTCCATCCTATTGCCTCTCAGGAAGTTCCTCCTGTTGTCTAAATCTGATCCTTCATGCTGCCAATTGAGTTGGTGGAAACATTCCAGAAGGGACGCACAACTTGAGGCTAGGGGTGCAGTGGTAGGCCAACTGTGAGCGAGATAAGCTCCCCTCCTTTTGGGCAAAAGTATGGAGCAGCAGAAAGAGATTTGTGGGTAGACAGGCCTAGGTTCAACCCTCACTGGCTGAATGACAGTGGACAAGTTATCTCACCTCTCCTAGCCTGTTCTTCATCCGTAAAATGGGAACAACAATATCTACTTTAACTGGATCATTGGGAGACTCAAATGAGATTATGCATGGAAATCTCCTGACACATACCGGAGACCCAACATAGGTCCAGTCAACCAGCAAGGCTGACGGATTCCACCCCCTTAATATTTCTTCTCAGTTCCACCTTCCCCACAGCCTTAGCTGAGATCTTGTCTTCTCTCAGGTTCCTCCCCAGCCTCCTCACTGGTCCCCTGCTTCCAGTGAACTGAAAATCTGCTCCTACCCCTCCCCTGCCTCACACTCTTCTCTGAATCACCACCCACTTCAGGAGAAAATCCTATCTACTTACTTTGACATTCCAGGCTGTTGGTGACTGGCCTGTGTTTACCTCCTAAGGCTCATCCATCATCCCCAGCCCAGCCCTCAGACTGCCTGTGTTGTTTCATGCCTCCAAGCCTCCACACATCTGCACCCTCGGTCAGGAGTGATGGCTCCAATCCCACCCCGTTGGTCTCCCCATCCTTCTAGATGAACTCAGTAGTTCTAAGGCCACTTTCTTCCCAGGAAAGCTTTCTTCACCGTGTCCCCTTCCCAGGTCTGGGTTGGGAACTCGTCCTTAGGTCTTCCATGGAACATGTCGCCCTGCATTATAATCACCTGCTTGGAGGCAGAGTGGAGTCAGTCATCTCTGAACTCCAGGTCCTAGCACTCAGAAGATTCTCAGCATTTGTTGAATGAATGTACAATTATTTCCAGAGCATCCTGTTACAGCAATTATCATACTACCTGCCCTGTATTAGTCCTATTCAGGTATTTGTCTCATCCCCTCTTTCCCCCTTGACCGTGGGAGTTCCTAGGGGGCAGTGGCAGTTTCTGATTAATTTTTATTGTCACTTTCATGCCGGGGGAGCAATCCGAAGTGGAGGGATGGATGCGATGGCTTCTGATCCTTAGAGTGCTGGATATTTGCAGTTTCCTCTTCTAAGTCATAGATAAAGTAGAATCCTGTGGCTTACAAAATAAGGCAGGGTACAGCCTATTATTGATTCTGCCCTTCTCTACCAAATTACTCAGATAAACTGTTTGGAAAGGGGGAGGGAGGCTTCCTGGGGCTGCAGGGGCAGGGGGACATCGGGTAGAGTTTTGCCAGACTTCAGGCAGTGCCCCCTTTCCTGCTCAATGAATTCAGCAAGCACAAGGAATCCACACACCGTGAATGCAGTAAGCACAACTGACAGCTCCAATTTACAGATGGGAAAACTGAGGTCCAGAAAGGTGAATGCAATTGCCCAAGGTCCCCAAGTTTCTGTAGTGAATTAGAGGCAAAGCAGGGGGAGTGATGGAAAAAGCCGTGGCCCCAGAGATAGGGTCTCCAACAGGTGTCCATTGGGGCCTAGCTGCTCATGGTAAACCCATCCTGCTGACAACCCATGTCAGCAGGGGAGCAATGACACTTCTCCCCAAGTCACCAAAAGGCAAACCAAGGCCCAAGAGGGGCTGAGTCACCCTGATCATGAAGCAGCACAGGCAGAATGGAGGAGAGGAGCTATGACTCCTGACTCCCACTGTGTCCTGCAGGGAGAAAAGCCAGACCTCAATGCAGGAGTCACTCTCCTGCTAAGGACAGACACCTGGACCACAGTGCTGGCCAGGCCCGCTTCGATAGGGAGTAGCCATCAAGGTGAATGCAGATGCTTCAAAATCTTCTGCAGCCTCCCCCATAAGCCTGGGCACCCCACACACAGCAAGGTACCCCACCGTGGCTCCCAAACCCACGGCCCGTGAGGGGGTTGGCAGTGCCGAAAAGTGAGCCACAGAGAAACAGAGCAGGTGGGTTCCAGCCTCTGCCCTGCCTCCGACCCTTTGACCTTAGGCAAGTCAGGTGACCTCTCTAACACTCTGGTTCATCTTCTGGAAAACAGGAAGAAGAAAATTAACCTCCTGGAAGAGCTATCAGGAGGATGGTTGGGAAGCAGTTTCTAAACGTTAAGAGGATAAGTTATCTCTGAGCCTCAGTTCCTTCTTCCAGAAAATGGAAATAATTTCTGTAGGACCTTTCTCCTGCTACTGAGAGTCTCAGAAGGCAGTAGGTAAGAAACTGCTTTGTCAGTGGTCCAGGAATGTGACGACCACTAGTGCGGTTTCTCTCTAGTCTGTTAGCTCCTTCCGGGAAGAAATGTGTCTTGCACATCTTTGACCCCACACTGTGCCTAGTACACAGTAGGCTTCGAATAAATAATTGTTGGGAACAAGGAGAGAGAGGGAGGGAGGGTTGAGGGAAAGAGAATGGAGGGAGGGAGGGGAGGAAGGAGAAGTGGGACACAAGGATGGGAGAGGGTAAAGAAAGAAAAATTGAAAAAGAGGGGGTTGCAAAAAGGGGTGGGGAAGAGGAAGAGACAAGGGTGAGGCTTCTATCAGAACCTAAGGGGGTGGGAAGAGTGATGGAGATAGAAGTAGGGTGACAAAGCTGAATACCAAGGCCCCAGTCCCCTCCCCTCCTTTTGCCCCAGTTTCCCATTTCAGAGGCATAGCCTCTCCCTTTCCTAGTCAGATCTTCTAGGGCAGGCTTCTAAGACGATAGGAGCCCCTCTCGCCATCTCTAGCTCAAAACAGATGCTGGCCAGCCACCCCAGGCTTCAGGAGGTCAGAGGGAAAGGAAAAGAGTCCATGGGACCTGTTTTTCCCAGGCTCCAGGCGAGGCGCCCCCACCCTGTGTGATGTGTGTATGTTTCTATTTCTTACCATGTGGGAACTGGAGGGAATGTGTCAGCAGCCCCATGGTCGGTTGCTTGTGCCCGTGGGGTGCCACTCTGTGTGGGCATCAGCCTGATGTGTGTCTGTGTGGGTCAGCGTTGGTGTGGTCTTGCGTTCCATTGTGTTGGTGAGATACATGCTAGCATAAGTGTGTGTGGTCAGCGAGGGTGACAGCAAAAGAATCACAGTGAGTGCAAGTGACAGTGTGCATGTGTGTCACTGAGTGCCAATGTGCGTGTGCCAGCATGAGGTGTGTTTGTGTTTCTGTGTTTAAGGGTGTACCCACATATGCTAGCATGACTGTCAGTATGTGTTGCCAAATGTATACCCCAGTGTGTACCAGCGAGTGTGTGTGACAGTGTGTCACCGTATATGGCGAGTGTGTGGCAGTGAATGTCATTGTGTGTGCCGGCATGAGTGTGCCCATGAGTGAGTGTGCCCCGTGTGTCCACGTGAGTGTGTGCCATTGTGTGTCAACCTGCCCCCATGCGTCTCTGCGTTTGCCTGGCCAGTGCTGGGTGTCAGCGCATGAGTGAGTATGTGAGTGTGTATGTCTCGGGGAGGAGCCGCGAGGCAGCTGGGGCGGCCCCGTCCTCACCCTCTGGGTACCCTCGCTTACGGCCCCTGCCACTGACCATGCAAGAGACCTCTGGCGGAGGTGAGCAGGGTCCCGTGGACCCAGGCGTCAGCGGTCCTGAGGTGACTGCAAACGCAGCCCCAGGACGCAGACTACAACCCTCGCCCGCGCTGTCGCCCAGGCCGCCCCCACGCGCGCCAGACCAGGCCACCGACCGCACTCACCGTGTCCCTTTGTCGCCCATGGTCCGTAGTGGCCGGCGGGAGGTCCGCGGCGTCAGCGTCCCAGCTGGAAAATCCCCGGCCGGCAGGAGGAGTGCGGGTCAGCCCGCTCCCGGCTGCCTGCTCCGCCTCCTCTGCCCGCCCGGCCTCTGCCGCCGCCCCCGCCCCCGCGCCCGTCCGGGTCCCCGCCTGCAGCCCAGCAGCGCCACGCCGCGCAGAGCCCGGGCCGCGGCCAGGGGCGTGGAGCCGAATGGGGTGTGTATGTGACCGTGTGTGTGTCTGTGTGTGCGCGCGCGCGCTCGCGCACCGCCCTGCGAGCCACGAGGGCAGGGCAGTGGTACACGTCAGGGCTCCGAGGTCTGCCTTTGCCGGTACACAAGGGTGCGTGCCTAGCTGTGTGTGTGAATGTGTGTGTGTGCGTGAAAGCACACGCCGGCTTAGGTATACGTGCGGTGTGTGCATGCGAGAGTGTATGCAGTGCAGTGCGTGTACATGCGGTGTGCGCGGGCCTATTAGGGAGTGTATTTGTGTGGATGGAGGAGTGTGCACGTCTTCATGCAGTTGTGCGTGTGTGCGCACCGCCGTGGGTGCGAGCGCGCTCTCCCGGGCACACCGGCGACAGCCTTTGTGCGCGCCCGTGGGTGGAAGCCGAAGGTTGGCGCATCCCGCGGCGGAGCCCCTGGCGGCGCCCCTGGTGGGGGTGAACGGAAACGGTGGGAGACTCCGCATGCCTGGCACAGCCCTCACCCTCTGCAACACCACCCGCCCCCGCCTCGAGAGATAACACCCAGCCACCCAACAGGGACGGGAAGAAGGGGCGGAGAGGGCCAGCAAGGGCAACGTCGACGCTGGGGAACTGATGAGGGTGGAAGGGGGTGGGAGGTAAACAGGGGCAGCTGGAGAGGAAGCTGTGAGAGCAGGAGATAAGAAGTATGGTAAGGGAGCATAGAAGTGGGGGCTGGGGGCTGGCCTGGCCCGGTAGCATCGTGGAAAGAGCGCTGGTCCAGCTCCACCGCTTGCTGTTGGTGACCCTGGACAACAGGCCTCTCAGAACCGATTTCCAAATCTGTAAAGTGGGAGTACTAATACCAGCCTGCAGAATTGTTCATAGATTTAAAAAACTTGCTTGTGTTTGCTGGGCTCCCTCTGAGTGCCTGGCACATAGTAGGTACCCAGCAAATGTTAGCTCACACCTCTCCAGGCTTCTTGGTGTCCAGGGAAATGCTGGCTGGGACCCTGATTTGCAGATAGTGGGAGAGTGTGAGGTCTTTCTCACCACCGCTCTGCTGGGATTTGGCTAATTGGCCCTGATGGGTCCCTAATATTGGAGTATTAGTGGGAGGAAAGGAGGCTATCATTTACTCTGATGCGATTGTGAGTCTGTAAACATCTCCTATAATTATGTTCAGAAGCAGTTACCTATGCTGGTTTTATGTATAGTTGGGTAATGATGTCCCAGTATAATTACCATAATTATGTCCAGATTTTGGGGGGTGGAGGGACGCCAATGGGCAGGCAGGGTGGTCCAGCGTCGGGGCAATGTTAGGAACAAGGAGAGTGTGCATTAGGGCCCAGGACCCTCCTCCAGGCCTTGGCCTCTGTACTGCACCCTCCCTCCAAAGGGAAAGGAGAGGAAGCCCCTGCTGTTTCTGCAGGGGTCAGGGATCTTGAGAGGAGCAGACCAGAGTACTCCTATGATGACAAGGGTCTCACTGTGTGAGCCAGAGAGGACCCTAACAGGATGCACAGGCCAGGTCTTGCCACTCTCTGCACCACAGGTTCCCCACTTATAAAACATGGGTTCAACCAAACCACATGGTCTCCAGTGGCTCTCCCCATACTGATGCCCAAAGCACTTTTGAACTTAATTTAAAAATTCAGGCAAACTCTTTTTTTTAACTTTTTTTTTTATTGCTGTTAAAATACATGTAATGCAACATTTGTCAAGCAAATTCTTAATTCCACTCAATAAATATTTATGTTCATTTTACTATAAAAATCATCCTTTTAATTACTTTCAAGTAAAACAAACAGTCCAGGAAGATGCATCAGATGGTTTCAGGCACCAGGCCCCCACACCCACTCCAGAACAGCTCTTCGCAATCAGTTTGGGAAGCTTGACTCTAACATTCTCGGGACACTGAACAGATTGGCAGACTATGGAGTCAACAGTCAGGTTTCCAGTACATCCCCACTAGCCTATAAACTTCATGAGGGGGTGTATGATGTGTCTGGCACTACTTGAGGCTCACAGTTATGTGAAATAAATATTCTTTTTCCTATTTAATAAATGAGCAAATAGATGCTCAGAGAAGCTAAGTAATTTGCTCGAGTCCATAGCCTCCTTTGGACCTTGGCCCGGACCTCCCTTACTTGTGCCATCCCTAAAGTGGAGCTAATACATAGTAGACCCAGAATTTAACCCTCAATTTATTCTTCATTCAATAACTTTATTGAAGACTCACTATGTGCCAAGCATGGTTCTAGGAACTTGAAAATCAGTGATCAAGAGGAAAAATGGAGCTTTCATTTCAGTGAGGAATCTAGGCTGCAGGAAGAGGAGTAAGAAGGGGATTTTGCTTTGCCTGTAAGGCTCTATGGAGAATGTATGCCAATATTACCTGTAAAATCAAAATTAATAAAAATGTAAAAATGGTAATTTTGAGAACAACTATAAATATAAATAACATAACTTAAGATAGTAATAAGTATTATGAAGGCAATAAAATAGAGAGCTTGGGGGCAAGTGTACTTAGAGAAAGGCTCTTCAGGGAGGTGACATTTGGGCTGAGACCTGTAGATAAGGAACCAGCCATCTTAAGAGTCAGTGGAAAAGCTTCCCAGGAAGAAGGAGCAGCAAGTACAAAAGCTTGGCCTTTCTGACGGAGAGGAACAAGGACAGTGTGGCTGGATTTTGGTGAATAGGGAAGGAGTGGTAGACAGGAAACAGGCAGGAGTCAGATCAACAATGCCTTGTAGGTGGGAGTGAGGAGTTAGGGAGCAAGTGGAGGGTTTAGGCAAAGGAGTAACAGTATCTGCTTTACATTTTAAAGGTCACTCTGGCTGTTGAATGGAGACAACTTGGAGTGAGACAAGAGCAGATGCAGGCCACTCCATTATGGCAGTAGCCGAGAGAGTGGATGGTGGTTTGGACTAGTGTGGTGGCAGCAGAAATGAAAAGAAGTAAGGGGTTCAGATATGTTTGGAGGCAGAGCCAGTAGCACCTGCTGAGGAGCTGTCAGTGGACTGTGGCGAATCCAAGTGACTCAGAGATTTGGGACAGGGTCTGTTTGTACAGCCTCCATACAGGCTACCTCCCCACACAAGGGAAGTGAGGTTGTGAGGACTGGAGAACTCCTTCCTTCCCTTGTCTATCCATTTCTAATACATCCTCCAGCTGAACGCCAGAGTGATTTTTCTAAAAGGCAAACGGATTCTATTACTGAGGCTCATAGGAGACGGTCATCTCCAACTATGTCCAATTTGGGCCAGACATATGCCTGAAATTTATCACTTAATAATAATCCCTTACCCACAAAAAGAGAGAGAGAAAGGAAGTATTATTCCTGCTTCATAAATGAGAAACAGAGGCTTTAAGAGTGAAAGGACCTAGGTCAATTGGGATAGAGTAAATAAAAGGTAGAGATGGGGCTCAAACTCAAAGCATCTGCTTACCTGGTAAGGTAATTGAATGTCAGATTGAAGGGCGGGTGGGTGGGTGGGTAGGCAGATGAGTTTTCAGCTCCCTGTTCAACAGAGGATTTCAGGTTGACTTATACATCCCTTTGAGATGTTAGCAACTAAGAAACTAAGGAGTTTCACTTCCTCTGCCCCAACCACAAATCTGGGTGTCATCCTGGGTGCCTCACTTGCCCACTTCAATCCATAGCAACCCCAGTCACAGAATTCTTCCTCCTAAATATTCCTCAGAAAAGCTGGAGAAGCAGACAGGAGTCCATGCTAGGCCTGGAGGATCATGCTAGGGAATATGATCTTCACCGAAGACCAATGAAGAGGGTTTGAAGGATTTTTAAGCAGAGCAGTGGCATGATCAGACATGTGTTTTGAGTTGATCACTCTGGCTGTTGTGTGAAGAATGGATTGGACCTGAGCCAGAGTGGGGAGACCAAATAGGAGGCAATGTCAGCAGATTAGGGGAGGATGATAACTGCATTCCAGGGACAGGACATATAACAGCTGCAAAGCCAGGGAGGAAGGAAAGGGCATGACACTTTGGGGGAATTTAAAGTGATCTGTGGCCAAAGCACAGAAAGTGTGGGGGAGGGGCTGGGAAGGAAAATGGCAACCATATCCTGAGGAAGCAGGCTCAGAGACTAGGCAGCTTCCCAAGATGGCAGGGGCTGTTTAGGTTTGTCTAACGAGATTCTAGTCCCCATTTCCTTGTGGTGGAATCATTGGTATTTATCAGTAACTGGACAATTCAATATTCTCATTTGCAATCAGCAAAAACCAATTCTGGCTGGCTTAAACATAAAAAGAATTTATTGGCAAGATATTCAGGTAGCTTCTCTGCTGAACGATGGACACTACATCTCACATCCCCACTACTGCCAGCACCAAACACACCCCACTGCTACCCCAGAAACTAGCTCTGGCCTCTGCCATCGAAATGGATTATTTGCTGGCCCTTCATCTTTGAGTTAACGACCTCAGTGCATCCAATTGGCTCAGCCTAGGTCATGTGCCTATGCCCTAGGTCATGTGACCTTTCTCTTGCTGTTAGGGACACTGAGAAACTGTATAGCTGGCATTTGTGACACCCAAACTGGGAGGTGGATTTTGACTCACTCCAAGACACATATGGTAGAGAATTCTCCAAACATAAGAAGGGATTTTAGAGAATGAGCAGCCAAAAACACACAGATGTCCACTTCACTAGGAAATGCGGCTGAGTGGATTCCTAGTTGTTGCAGTAACAGCTCAGGGCCAGGAGACGCGATTAGGAGTCAGATATTCTTGTTCGGGTTGCCTTAGTAATTGGTAGCTTTTAAAAACAGGGAGACAGTGCTTCTGATTCCAGCAATAGCGGAGTATCTCG